TTTTGTTTATTTTCATCAGATTGTGTCTAGAAAAAATTGAATTAAGTGTTAAAGTATAGTCCTCGAGGGAACGATAATTCAGACTCATGTGTCCACTTTACTACTTGTTACGATCCGTACACTTGCGGGATAAAGTCGACAACAATATTATAAGGACAAATAGATTTTATTATTTGTAAATTGTTTATCAATTATATACCAACAAATCATACAACATGACTTTAGATTGTCCAAAAAATGGATGATTTGTGAGTAGATAAATTATCAATTTACACAATAAAATAACAAATACAATTATTGTATAAACATAATAATATGATAACATTATGATTCAACAATAATATAAACATAAGAAGAGAAGGGTTAGAATTACAAGTCTTGGGAGTTACGTCGAAGACACTGTCCTAAAATCATGTTACCTTTCTTTTGTGCGAGTATTTTCGACGCTACACGACTCCAAGATAGAACCAATATGACTCACAGTCGATTCTCCTTTTATGGGTATGACCATAAGGAGATAAGTAAACGAATCTTTATCGAAGTGTCAAAACTATATAAAATATTATAGAAGTGTAGAGAGTATTTTATCAAGTTATCTTTTTCATGTTATGCTTAACCTCACAAAAATCACTCCCTATATAGAAATAAATTTAATCCCCACAATCATATCATTAAAATACAAGTTATTATGGTGTTTTAATTTTATGTTAGAATTGAAAATTAAAAGATTTTAATTTTGAAAGGTTAAAACTTTAATTCTTAAGTTAATTTACATCATTTACAATTTTTTCTATCTTTTATCCGTGTAATCTTTAGTAAAATATTTTTTAATTAAAAAATCCATGTGGAACAAACTTCAAGCTCTTGTTTGGCCCCCATTCTTTCCAAATTTTAATGGTTGGAATAGTATTTTTATGAAAAATATGTGGCTGATAAAGAATAAAAAGTTTTTAATTTGGATGTTATATTGTTTTATGGAAGATTGTGTGATTGAAAATAAAAGAGAAAAATAATGAGGAAAATGGGACCAAACGGGGGCTAAATATCCAAAACTACAAGACTAATGACGTTTGACCGTATACATTGTTTTCATTTTCCCTGAGGTTTCAAGCACTTCGTGGAAAATTTGGTTGGTTTGACTTTGACTCTCCCTAAAACCAATCAAGTTAATTTGATGATAAACAAGTTGAGTAATGTTATTTAACCACTTTGATTTAAGTGGTAACTAGATGTCATTAAACGATAGATTTATTTAAATATAAAATCAAATTATATATTTAATTGGACTTATCAAATGTGATCATTTAGACTGGTATCCTAACACTATTGGTATTAAATAACATTTTTCAAACAAATTTGTGCAATGAAAAATAAATAGTTAGGTCAACCACGAAAAAGAATGGACTAGTTGACATAAGCTACAATTTCTAAGTCTCTAGAGGTTAAAATGCTGAAAATGAAGAAAATTAAAACTCTTTATTAAAAAATAATAAAAGGAGCATAACTAATAGACGATAAAAGACGTGATATAATTCTAATTTTACGTTATTTTAATAGTTTTGATTTAACTAGTCGTGCATAACTTAATAGATAACGGTTAAGAGTCCATTTGACAAGGATCATGCTTCATGTCGAAAAGTTTCATGAAAAAGCTACATTATGTCAACTTACTCTAATAATTTTGCTAATTATCCAAAATATTTTTAAAAAATATTCAATCTAGTTAAACAACAACTATTGAACTTTCAATCAGTAACTATCTGGGCTCCATTATTTCGAATTATAATGAAAGAATGGTAATTTTTTGAAGAATGTATAAGTAGAAAAGAAGGGAAAAAATTTATATTTATGAGCCTATTAGGGAGTGATTTTTTTCCCCAAAAATTTGATTTTTTGATCATTATTTTACTATTTCAGCTGTCATATTTGACTTTTTCTCTTACGAGTGGACTTCATTTTTTTCCTAACGGTCAAAAAATCAATTCTCAAAATCACTCCCAAATAAGCTCTATATGTAATATCATTTTATTGAAAAATTTGTAGCAAATGAAAAAACAAATTTTAATTTAGGCTCCATTTGATAGTCATTTTTTTCAAAATGCATTTTTCACTCTTTTATTTTCAATCACAAATTATTTATTAAAAAAATATTACACGTAATTCAAAAAAATTTCCTTATTTCTCAACCACACATTTCACATTAATTTACTATTTTAAAATGTATTTTTACATAAAAATGTCTATCAAATACTCCTTAATTGGCCAACCATTCCGACCTCCGTGATAGACGTGAAGGTCAAGATTTTAAAGTAAACATAGGGTTGCAAGATACATAACGCGTAAATTTTCTATCTGTTTTCTTATAATACTTGGAAAAAGCAAATGAATTTCACTTTCCTTGGTAACCACATCTTTGTGGTCTATTGGTCTTATTCTAACAAAAATTATGGCCGGGAAACTTTTTCAATTGGGATTGTGACATGTAACTATCTTCCCTTGACAAATGAGGCCCCCTTTAAACACTTTGACAAAAAAAAAATCCTTAATCATTGATAACATGTCAGGAAGAGAAAAAAATTTCACTTATTTTTTTATTGTATTCTCGTGTACAACACGACTTTATTTCATAGTGGAAACCAAATACTTTTCAAGAAACACGTCGAGAATATTTTTTTAATTATATTTTAGACCTAAAAATTCGTCAGTAGACAACAATTTCTTGATACATCATGACCAATATGAACGAGATTTGAGAAAGCAATCCAATTGAAAGTCAAACGATCCATAATACACGTAGTCTCCAAAATTAAGAGTGCGTTTGGTTTGCGTTTGCGTTTGCGTTTTCATTTTCATTTTCTATGTTCAATTTTGAATTTATTTTTAGTTTTTTATTTTGAGTGACTATCTTCGAATTACAGAAAACTGTATTTGATTTTTCATTTTAAAAAACAGTTTAGAAAATTAGAAAATGGGTTTGGTTTAAACTTTTTAGAAATTGTTTTAAAACATTTATACAATTAATTTGATTATTTAATAAAATATAATAATTTTATGCTAATATATTACCAGATAATATATATTTTAAGCTTGGTGAATTTACTATTTTTTCTTGCTACAAAAATAAAATAATAAATTTATAGACCAAAAATATGAATCGTTGTAAAAAAAAAAAAAAGCTAGTCCGTCCTTCATCCTTCTAGATGTATTTTGCTGTCACTTGGACAATAAAAAAAAATAATCTTTCCAAATTTTGATCAACAAAAAAATAATAATGAAAATTGAAAAATATTTTGTGGGTTTTAAAAGTATTATGCTTCATTAAATTGTATCATATTAGAACATTCTATTTTAAAAGTACTGCTGAGCATCTCATGGTTTTAAAAAAAGGGTAATTAGCACAAAACGTTCCTACCTTTCGATGTTTTTGTGAAAAATGTCCCTACCTTTCGTTTTTTGGCGGATTACACCCTCACCTTTACATTTTTTTGCGCAAAACGTCCTTCTGTCAACTCCCCGTTAAAATGCTCCGTTAAATCAAAAGGTAATTAGCACAAAAGGTCCCTACCTTTTAATATTATTGTGCAAAACGTCCCTACTTTTCATTTTTTGACATAATTAGCACAAAAGGTTTCCTACCTTTCAATGTTATTATGCAAAACGTCCATACCTTTCATTTTTTAGCATTTTCACTCCTACCTTTCACTTTTCATTGCGAAAAAGGTCATTTTCATCCATTTTTTCAATAAAATGACGATTTTACCCTCCTATTCAAATAAAACAAAAAGAAAAGAAAAGAAAAATAATTAATTAATTATAATCATAGTCCTAAATCTTTCAAAACATTACAGATAAATTCTAAACTTTCCACTACCGCCACTTTCATAACCCCACCAAGCCACCACCTATAGATCCATATAACACTACCTTTCGGCCACAATACCTATCGGACTCCACCACCACCAGCCTCACCTCACTCTTCCCAATACCCTCCTCCATAGTATTGGTCACCAATCTATCCAAAACAACCACATTTAAGGTGGCAGAGTCTGGTGGGAATGGTGGCAGAAATGTGGTATTATGTTGATTTATAGTTGGCAACTTGATAGGTTGTGAAAGTGGTGGTGGTTGGGAATTTATGATTTCTTTGTAATTTTTTAAAAATTTAAGGACTATGGTTGCAGTTGGTTATTCATCTTTTCTTTTTGTTTTGTTTGAATAAGAGGGTAAAATTGTCATTTTATTGAAAAAAATGGATGAGAAGGACCTTTTTCGCAATGAAAGGTAAAAAGTAGGAGTGAAAATACTAAAAAATTAAAGGTATGGACGTTTTGCACAATAACATTGAAAGGTAGGGACCTTTTGTGCTAATTATACCAAAAAATGAAAGGTAAGGACGTTTTGCACAATAATATTTAAAGGTAGGGACCTTTTGTGCTAATTACCTTTTGATTTAACGGAACATTTTAACTGGGAGTTGACAGAAGGACGTTTTTGCGCAAAAAAAGGTAAAGGTGAGGGTGTAATCCATCAAAAAACGAAAGGTAGGAACGTTTTCCACAAAATCATTGAAAGATAGGGACGTTTTATGCTATTTACCCTTTAAAAAAAAAAAATTTGACGTGTTTTAAGTGTTTTTCGCGTTCCGATTTTTTTAATTGAAAACGAAAAAATTCATTTCTAGTTTTCAATTTTAAATTTTTCTTTATTTTCAAAAATACATTTTAGGAAATGACATGTCAAACATGTTTTGGACATTTTCAAAAACTAAAAGCAGAAAATAGCTTGAAAATGGGAAATCAAACGCAACCTAAATATTTGATAGAAATAAATGTTGAGTAAGTCTATATTCATTGTAAATCTTACAAAATATATTGTTAAAATTTAAATTTGACCAACTTAAATTATAAGTAAAGGTAAGCGTACATTTTAATCAAATAATTTGTGTATAATTTCATATCCTCACAAATTACTCCATAATCATCTAGTCTATTCCACTTGGCATATGTATAATTACTGCCCCACTAATTTCTGATCGAATTTCCATCAGAAATTAGCCAGTGGAATTTTAACTATACGCATTAGCGTGTATGACCCTCTATTTTTGAGCCATTCTTCCGAGGAGCTTCATCAGATTGTGATAAATATCTGATAAATAAATAAAAAAGGCATTAAACTAGTGTGTAAATGAATAATTATGACTATCATAACTATTAATTGCCGTCCCTGCTTCCCAAACCCCTCTAAAAAGCCGGCCAGAATCCTACTTTTCAACCCCTCAAATCTCAATTTCTTATTCTTCTTTACAGTTTCAATCTTTATTATTATTATACGTAGTTGAGATTTATGTATTGATTTGTAAGTGTTTATGAAGCAAAACTGGGTATAGGAAGTGGCCACCGACAATTTCAGATCTTCAGGTTCAATTCTTTTTCTTTTTTCAATTTGAAGTGGTTTGATCTGGAAATGGATTTTGGAATTATGGGTTTGATTTGAAATTTGATATAGATTGGTAAGTTTGGCTAAAGAATCTGTTTTCTTGATTTTTTTTTTTTTTTTTTTGGTTCAGTTTCGATCCAAATGATCTGTTTCCGTAGCTCAATTTCGATTGACCAGCAGTTAGCCATGTCCAAATCTGGGATTTCGAATGATCCTTGTCTGAAAATGAAGCATATTAATCAGTTCCATAAGAATAGAAGGACATCTCAAAATCAGTTGAATGTTCCGGCTTGTGAACGATCTCGCTCTGCCATAATTGATGTGATAATATTGATTGCTGTTATTGGTGCATTTGGGTTCTTGTTGTATCCATATTTCAAGGCTTTAGTGCATAGTACTGTTGAACTTGGTGGAGAAGTTGTAGACGTGATGAGAGAGGAAATTGTTCGTGCTCCGATGGTGTTTGGATGTTTAGGACTTAGCATTTCGTTCGCTGCAATAGCGTTAATGGCGATCACAGTATGTACAGATAGGAAATGCGGGAAACCAGGCTGTCGTGGGCTTAAGAAGGCTGCTGAATTTGATATACAACTGGAGACAGAGGAGTGTGTTAAAAATTCAACTTGTGGGGCAAAAAATGGGTTAAAAAATGGACTATTTCAATTATCTCGCGATCACCATAGGGAATTGGAAGCTGAGCTCAAGAAGATGGCACCGCCTAATGGAAGAGCAATTCTGGTTTTCCGAGGAAGATGTGGATGTTCTGTGGGCAGAATGGAGGTTCCAGGATCACGAAAGACTCGAAAGGCTAAGAAATAGTTTTGTTTAACATACTTTACAGAAGCATATATGAAACTAAAGTAGCCATAATGATTAGCATATCCTTTCTGAACAATATACATTTGAATAAGCTCAGTGGAATAAACAGTGGACAATAGACGTTATCAATTATAGTAGGAACATATATTTCATTAGCTTTACTATTTTATAAAGTATACTTATTCTCTTTTAACAGTTGATTAGGTGTTGCTTATCATCTTGTGGTTCTTTGCTCTTTACATGGATGATGTCTTAGATTCAGAAGAAGGTCCATCTTGTTGTTTTCCCCACATTCTTCATTATTCATTGAGTTTTTGGGTATATTATCTGGTATTTGATACCACATTTGAGATAAATATGCGGAGGTAACCTTTTTCCGCTTAGATGGAAATTTACATTTTTTATCTTTGATTAATGTGGCCGGAGCCAGAAATATTTTGTTTTGTGGGCTAATTTCACCAAGGTGTATCGATGAATCTGAACTATGAGAGTTTGGGAAGTTAAGCTCCTTAGAAAGGATTGACCGAAATGGCGACTCCTTTGTTTTTGTTTCATGTTTGCTGTCTGATTGATGTTTTTTCTCTCCAAATTTACCTAGACTAACTAGAGGCAGACGTGGTACCGTACGGCTATGAGCATCACACGCTTCTCCCTAACAATTGTCCTCTCTTTGAGCTTTTCTGGTGAATCTTTCACAGCCATCAAGTCCCATCAATTATTTCTCACACCCGCACATTGCTGCCTTTTTTTTTTTTTTTTTTGGTTCTTTTCAGATTATTTCCTATCAAATGCACTATAAGGTCTTCCCTGTTTCTCCGAAGCTATACTCTGGACAGAAGTGTTAAATTCTTGAATGAGAACAATGTATTAAACTCCATATATGGAGAAGAACAAGATACAATGGAACCGGAATAAGTTCCATGAAAAAAACACTCCATGATAGGAGGAAAATGAAATACATTCCATGAAAGGAGGGATTGGAAAATACAATCCAATGATCTAAGAGATATACAAAGTCTTGTATTTATAGAGAAAATGGCTAGAGTAATTAACAAACTAATTGGCTAATTAACAAACTAATCACCTAACTAACTAATGTAACTACTAACTAACATTGACAGCTGGAGATAAAACCAAAATTGATCTGGAATCTGAACTGATATGTTGAAAACGGAAGTCTCTAGAGTATGGTGGTTAGACATGTTGGAAGATTAGGAATTCTCTAACACACCCCCCTCGAGATGGACTATGGAGATCCATCTTGAAGATTAAGGAAAACATTGAACAAGGGGCCAAATCTTGTTGCTGACTGGAAATAGGAAGTATGGTACTGGTAGTGTTGAGCTCCATAGAGTTGACCATCGTGTCCGAAAGTTGGAGAGATGTAGTAGTCGGAGAATATAGCCTATAAGTAGCATGGCTACGGTGATACATTAAAGACCCATTATCCCCATAAAACTCCAGGTGTGACTTCTACTCCATCTGAATTCACATATGGTGTGTAGTTCCACTCACTACCAGTCCCGTCATAGCCGCCATAACAGTATGCAGTAGAAGGGTTGCCATTAGGAAGATAGCACATAGTCTGATCAAAGAGATCCGATAGCATGGGATTCAAAGACCCATCCCTAGATTGAATGTTTCCAGCAGTCACGTTGCCAGAATCAAAAGAAGGCTTTTTGGTTGGCTCTGGAATTTCCAGAGTTTTCGCCTGTGTGTCCGAAGATAATTTCTGTAGCAGGCCAGCAGCGTGATCTGGAGGTGCAAAGGTGGCCATAGACTTTAAACTGACAAATCTTGCTTCTTTGGGAAAGGGATAGGGTTTTTAGTAGGAGAAAGAAGGTGTGAGAGTATCAGCCGCCACCAGTGAAATGCTGAAAAAAAGGAAGGCAACAGTAGGAAGCATTTAAGCTCTGATACCAAGTTAAATTCTTGAATGAGAACAATGTATTAAACTCAGAAGAACAAGATACAATGGAACCGGAATAAGTTCCATGAAAAAAACACTTCATGATAGGAGGAAAATGAAATACATTCCATAAAAGGAGGGATTGGAAAATACAATCCAATGATCTAAGAGGTATACAAAGTCTTGTATTTATAGAGAAAATGGCTAGAGTAATTAACTAACTAATTGGCTAATTAACAAACTAATCACCTAACTAATTAACGTAACTACTAACTAACATTGACAGTTGGAGATAAAACCAAAATAGATCTGGAATTTGAACTGATATGTTGAAATCGGAAGTCTCTGGAGTATGGTGGTTAGACATGCTGGAAGACTATGAATTCTCTAACAAGAAGTACTGTTGTTTCGAGATGTTATCTCGGGGGTAGGGATTGACCGCATATTCTGTTGTTTTTCGACATTGACTTGTAGAACATTGGGTGCTCTTAACTATCCATCTATCCATTCTATACTTTGAATTCTACACTTGGTGAATGGTACAATGTATGCTAATTTAACATTCTTTTTGCCAATTATGTTGCCATGATTGCTTGCTTTCATTGGTTAGACTCTTACACTACCAACTCCATTGAACTACATCCATAAAATAACTTGGACCATTGTTTTCCGAACAATACATATGCAGCTAGTAGTGTTCCAGGATCACTACTCTCCTCATCTTGTTCCATAATGCCAATTGCTACGTGCATGAAAGCATATGAAGTCTCTCTCTCTTATTCCATCTGCCAAATATGATTCTGGTCAACATGTTTTTTTGCAACCACTGACCAGGTTAAACTTTGCACGATCAAACATAGGAAAGTAAGTATTCAACAGCAAGTAGCGAAATTTTTTTTGATCCCATTAACAACACAACAGTTGGCCCCTGTTTGGTTTTGCTAAAAATCATATTTTTTTAATAGATTTTGATAAAAATTGATGAAATGTGTGGTTAAAAGTTGGTAAAAATTGTGAGTCCATCAAATGTGTGATTACAAATGAATTTGAGAAAAAAAATGTGTTCTAAAATATGAAGGCCTTCAGTTTCTTGAGGTCCCTCAAGATTCACATTCTCACTACTCGTTTTCATAATCTCTGGACACAAAGTTGTGTTTCCTTCATAATTGTGTTTAGTTCATCTTTCATACTATTGAAATTTTTCTTTGCAGTTGGCACAAATAGTATTCTTATTGCGAGGAAAGTGTGCTGTGATTGTTTTGCTGATATCTTAAGTTGATGCTGAAAAGAATCGTGGCACCTTTCGACCAACTTTCTTGAATGATTGTAGGTTTTCAAGCTTTAAAACCAATTAGAAAAATGGTGACAATCCATTTTACCAAATTCTTGAATAATTGTGGAATCCGAAAGTTACCAACCTGTAAAACCAAAGAGAAAATTGGTGACAATTATCGACCACCAGCGAAACTATGAAGTAGAAACCGAATAAGCCATGGACACACTTTTATTGAACCAAAGAAGGCGAAGGTCTTTAAGGAATTATATTCTTTTTAATAGCAGATGACAACCTTTAAAGATATTAAGTACTCCCTCAGTTCCATTTTTACAGGTTTAGTTTCTTTTTTCTCCTCCCAAATATATAGTCATGTTCTTTAATTTATAATGTTTTGTTTTGTTCCTTTACTAATATATCCATATTTAATTCGTCTAGTTACAATCAATTTCTCTCTTAAATCATTCAAATACATGCACATTTCCCAATAATTTGCGTACTTCTTGAAATCAATTTTTAAATTCTTTACTAATTCCAACAATAATTCACTAATAATTGTTGAAAATTAAATAGAGGTAAATTAGGAAATTTCTTGGTAATGGTTACATTTTTAATGACATTAAGCGCTTGTTTGATTTGGATTAAAATATGATTTTAATTTAAGTCAAAGTGAAACAATCAATATTAACAATATTTTTCATGGGTCCCATAAATTTTCAACCACACATTTCTAAAACTTCCATTATAATCTATTAACAAATTTAATTTTAATCCCCACCAAACATCCTCTAAATAGAATTTATTAATCCGTGTAAAAAATAAAATAAGTATTAGTCTATATAAATGGGACGGATGGAGTACCATTTTGTTTTGGCCCAGACTTATTGATTGATTTCACTCCCAACAAGCGAGGGATTGTCCGAGCAATCTTGCCCATTAGTGTGACAAATACGTCTAGTGCAATAGATCGCTATTAGGCAATATTTACAGTTATTTGAAAAAAAAAATGTTTTGAATGGTGAATTTTAGTAAAATACTTGATTAAATTATAGGGGAAAAAATTTGAATTTACA